TATGGGGACAAATAACAAACAAAAATTTATTTTCTTGTGGATTAGAAATACACTCTGCAATGTTTATTGGTGAAACGACATGATGTCTGGGATTTGTTTTCTTGAGGTTCTGAAAAAAAAAAAAGGAGTGGGAAAGATGAATGAAGATGGATGAAGCAGGATGGCAAAGTTGCCACAGCAGGGTAACAGAGATGATTGACACTATTTTAATTTTGTTACCATTTGAAATGCTCTTTAAAAAAAACAAAAAACCTTTTTTTTTTTAAAGTGGGAGGAAATATTTTGCCCTCCCACCCCACTCCATGGGATGTTTGTGAAATCACCTAAGACTACTCTGTGCTATAAAGCAGGAGCCCCAACCTCCAGCCAGGGTCCAGTAACTCATATCAGATCAGCAGAAGCATTAGATTAGAAATAAAGGGCACAATAAATTTAATGTGTTTGAATCATAAACCCAAAACCATCCCCCGTCCCTCCCTTAAGTTAAGTGAAAATCACTCAGTCATGTCTGATTCTTTCAAACCTCATGGACCATACAGTCCATTGAATTCTCCAGGCTAGAATACTGGAGTGGGTAAGCATTCCTTTCTCCAGGGGATCTTCCCAACCCAGGGATCAAACCCAGGCCTCCCGCATTGTAAGCAATTCTTTATCAGCTGAGTCACCTTAAGAAATCTATTGTCTTCCATGAAACCAGTCCTTGGTGCCAAAAAGGCTGGGGACCAGTGCAAAGTGTCTCCACTGCCGGAAGTGAGGAAACAATGGGTTACAGTTTTTCCTCAGTCACTTGAAGGTCACACTGAGGATCTAGACAGATCCAAGAAGGTGCACATCCCAAGAGCTGCACACCTCTTGGCTCTGTCAATTTAGTGTTGGCCAAAATTTTTTAAAAAATTTCTTTTCATCTTTTTCCCAAATTAGGAAGAAGCTTGAAACAAATCTAAAGAAACTGGAGTCACCTCTGTGCTATTTAACTGGCAGTATTCACTTTGAGAATTAAATACTTTCAACCTAGTGCCCTTAAGAAAACGACTTCCTAAAAAGCATAGATGTTGGTGGTTGACATAGCAAATTTCATTCATGACTTTTGATTCACTAGCTTTCTAAAGCTTGTGTCCTTGTCACAGGTAGAACACATTCAGTGAGTCCAGTTGAAAGCAGGGGGAAAGGTGAAGGATGGAAGCAGCTGTAAAAGCAGAAATATTCTGGGATGGCAATTTCTCAAAAAATGAAAAATAGAATTACCATGTGACTAAATAATTCTACTTCTCAGTATATATCCAATAGGACTGAAAGCAAGAACTCAAGCAGACACTTATACACTCGTGTTCAAAGCAGCATTATTCACAATAGCCAAAAGGTGGAAACAACTCAAATATCCATCCGCAGATAAACAAAATGTAATCTATCCATGAGTAGGATACCATTCAGCCTTAAAAGGAAGGAAATTCTGACACATGCTACAACACCGATGAGCCTGGAAGATATTATGCTAACTGAATTAAGCCAGTCACAAAAAGACAAACCTTGTGTGACCCTACTTCTCTGGGGCACCTGCAGTAGCTGAACCCATAGAGGCAGGAGGTCACTGGTGGGTGAAGGGGCTGGGCGAGCTGGGGTGGGGATGTAGTGTTTAACACGTATGGAGTTTCAGTTCTGCTAAATGAAAAGTTCTGTGGATGGATGGTGGTGATGGTGGCAAAACAATGTGTAGGTACTTAATGCCACTGAGCTGGACACTTAAAAATGAAAAATTGGGGGCTAGGGGTAGAGAAGGGATGGATTGGAAATTGCGAATTAGCAGATGCAGATTATTATATAAAGAATGAATACAAAATGAGATCCTACTCTATAGCACATGGAACTATATTCAATATCCTGTGATAAACCATAGTGGAAAAGAATATAAAATTATGAGAAGGAACATGTTTTATATATATGTATATATATATAAAACTGAATTGATTTGCTATAAGCAGAAATGAACACAACACTGTAAATCAACTATACCTCAATAAAATAAATTTGTTTAAATGGTATATTTTGTCACATCCATTTTACCAGAAATTTTTTAAGTAAATAATTTTTTTCATGAAAGCATTACTCAGAGACCTCCACTTAGACTGTGAGTATGGCCTAGAATCAGCAAAGCTACAGGAGACCCCTCTCTTCTCTTCATTTTCACGGGGAAGAAGCGCACCGTAGCTGGCCTGAAGTGGGGGCCCACCTCCTCCGGGGAGCGTTTTCCCCGCAAGCAGAGCCTTGGCTGTATGACGGGGAGTCTGCTTCTCAGTTCCTCAAACACTCGGGTGTGACCTCCTTACCTGCCTTTCCCGCTGGCTCTGAGTTCTGTGCCAGGTGAAGAATACAGCAGGCTTTTAGGTGCAGATTCACCCCGGGCCCTTTTGCAATTAACTAAGAGCCCTCAGAAAACCCTCTTCAAGTAACTCAGATGCCAACCACAGAGAGAAAACCTAGATCAGAACCTGTGAGGCAGCACACGTGGATTCTAAAGATGCTTCAGGATACAACCTCTGATGGGGACTGGGGGCTTGGTCCACACTTATGTCCTGTAGGTCTGCTGAGATGCCTGCTGAGTTGTAAGTTTTTGATTACTGGGAACTGAATGCTATGAGCATAATAATTCATTTGTTACAAAATCACTAGAAAATGGGGCGCATGACTAGAGTGTTCAGGAAGAAACTGTAAAAATGATTTAAGAGGTTATGTTATAGAGAGGCCTGATGTTTAAAATCAGATGCCGGGACATGTCCAAACCAAACATTCTAGATACTAGAGCAAATATCAAGGTTGTACTTTTTTTTAGTAGCTTTAACTAGTTTGCCCATAAAAAATACCACCCAAGGATACTTTTGAATTATTTTATATTAGTCTAGAGATGATCTGTAGATACTAGGAAATAATACACATAGACGGAAGATAGATCTTTATTTCATCTAAAAGTGTTCTTAAGAGAACTCAGGAGGCAGCTAAGGGACCTGGACCCAGGACAAAGAAAGGCGATGCCAGCTTATGTGGAGGTACTCAGCGGGGTGGGGGTGGCTGGTAGAGGCAGTGAGACTGACCTGTCTGACCTTTCTAGATTCAAGCCATTTCAAACAAAAAGGATTTGGTTGCTTCAGAGAAAAAAAGAAAGAAAGATGAGACACTTTGGGGAATTAGAATCAGCACTGGAGAAACACAGGACATTTATACTGCTGATTGGCTAAACTGCATTAATCTCCCACCCAGTTTGACTTATTATTTTCAGTCTCTACAAAGCTCTTTGCATTTGTCACTAAAATACATTTCCCAATAAATTTACTGGACTAAATTTTGGTACCATGATGCTATACCATATACAGACAGAACTGGGAAAATAGGGGCTACCTTTTTCCTTTTGTGAGAATGGTAAAAGCTCAATCTTCTATGACACTGCATTTCATTTGTAAATGTCCAAATGATAGCTCTTCTACGTCAAAAGCTCTATTAGACCACAAACTTTTCCATGACGGCATCTCACGCTGGCACAGAACATTGTGTTGTTCTTACTTGTAGGATGTCAAGTTCAATTTATTTTTATGAAGAGAAATTGTTCATGGGAAAGTCAGGGTTTTAAGGGAAATGGAATCATGACGCACATGAGTTATACATTTAAAATGCCAGTGAATGTTCTTTGGAACATTTGAAAAATGGTCATGTCATCAAGATGTCAAACCCTCTAGCTGCCTCCCTGGATTCTCAGAGAATTCCCAGAGCCAGAGTAGATCCCGTCTGTTTTCTAAATCTTCCCACTGCAAATTCAGGCTTCCGGAAAGAAGCGTTCCTTCGCTGAGTGTGTCCTGTTATCAGAAATAAATTTAATGAGCACATCTTTGTGTCTAATCTACAAAGCACATTATATAGAATTTAATTCCTTTGCTGCACGAATGTTAGAACTATATTAATTAAGTGGCTGAAAAATGTAGGTGAGAAGACTGCTGGCAATGGGCTGGGTATATACTTTGCCTCCTGAATGAAATTCAAAGCAGTGACCCCTGTTTTAAAGTCCAAGTTCTATTCTCCGCCTTGCTTGCTGCCAGCCCTCCCGCCCCCTTCTTGGGTGATAATCAGACTTGAGGCATCATCTCCCTCAAGTCTTTCCTCTGTATCCACGCCCACAGCGCCTGCCTGAATTCCGGGAGCCCATTCTTCTCCTGCCAGCTAGGCAGCCTACACCTCAGCCTTGCTTTTCTTAAACACCTCAAGTGCTTGATGATCAACTGTTAGGTTTAGACACACAGCTTCCTTATTTCTTGTATCAAATACAAACTGAGCGGGGGAAAAGATTTTTCTGTAAGAGATTTTTCCAATAAAATTAGAAGAATGGGTTTGGTGGTGGTTACTGTCTAGGTGGTAAATGACTGAAAGGTGAAGAGTGATTTCATTTTAGAAACGTCAGCAGCTTTCTTCTTTTAGTAAGACATGCAGGGAAATGTGTAAAATAGGGCTAGATACATGACAAAATTTATATATTTATTGAAAGTCCAGGAAAGGAATCAAAATGAAAAGCAAAGCGGTTTGGGGGGGTTAAGCTATGCGTACAGTTTACCGCAAAAGGAAGTCACGCGAGACTGCGTTCTTTGACTCCTTTTCCACAGGCCTTGTCCCGCGGCTGGCCCTGCAGGCTGCGCGCGCACCGCGAGGGGGCGCCATTGCCCAATCCGCACGCCGCGCCGTGGGGCTCCCTGAGGGGAAAAGGAAATCCCGGCTACACGCGCTGCCCCCGCCCCTACCGCGGCGTCCTGCTCTTGGTGTTAGGGAGCGCAGATAACGCCTCTGCCTTCAAGTCGTGTCTGCCGGTCAGAGGCCGTCAGCAAAGCTCAGAACTCTCTGCAGCCTCCCGCAGGGCTTAGAAGGTGGGCAAAGAATGGATCCCCTGCTCCATGCTAATTAATGTGCATGAAAGCACTCCTGCTGCCGGCCAAGTCAACCAGCACCCCAAGAGAGGAGGATCAGCTTCAGGGGAGACTGGAAGGCCGCTGCAGAGAGAAGCGGGCCGCTGGTTGTGCCAGGCTTGCGAGGGTGGGAGCCACCGAGGGACGCAGCGGGGGCGGAGGCAAGGCCTGGGCGGGAGGGGCAGCCTCGGGCTCAGGCCTGAGGCGGGTGGCTGGAAGCGGCTGTGTCCACAGGCGGCAGCAGCACAGGGCACGGGCCATTGCCCGTCCTTCAGACGACACGCGCTGCAGCGCCTGGGGCAGAGTGAGGCCCACTGACCGAGCGCTGTGCCGCTGCCCTGGGCATCTGTCTCTGTGAAGGAGGGACGCCATCTGGAGGAATGGGAGCGGGGCGCAGGAGCGGGCCCCCGGGAGGGCTGTGCTCTGGGGGCGCGCCGACACCACCCACCTCCTCATCTAGGTGTGGGCAGGAGGATACGCCCCCACCTCCTCCGAGGGGCGCACTGCCAGGAAAGGTCCATCACTCTTCAGGCCAGTGTGAGCGTCCACAGTGAGAGCACCTCAGCAACTGCTCAGGCCTGGGAGGGCCTGCCCTGACTCCTAAGTCTGGTGGGTTAGTGATGGGAAGAGCAGGTCTGAATCCACGGTGGACTCACTTCTTTGACTTTAACCTTTGTGTTCTACTGCTTTTGCTACAGGTCAGTTGCTAAAGGGAGGTGATCTACAGTTTAAAGTGCCCCTAACTGCTCATCTCTGGGAACACTGACTCCCGTGGCTGTGTTAAGCTAAAATACCTTTGTTTCACTGTCCTATGTAAAGTGAATAACCAACATGGATCTAGTGTATAGCACGGGGCACTCTACTCAATGTTATGTGGCAGCCTGGAGTAAAGGGGAGTTTGGGGGAGAATGGATACATGTACATGTATGGCTGAGTCCCTTTGTTGTCCACCTGAAACTACCACAACACAGGTAATCCTATATACTCCAATATAAAATCAAAAGTTTGAAAAAAATTATTTATCTTGTGCATGTTTGCTCAGTCATTCAGTTGTTTCTGACTCTTTGTGACCTTATGAACTGTAGCCTGCCAGGCTCCTGTGTCCATGGGATTTTACTAGGCAAGAATAATGGATAGCTTACAGGAAACATCTTGACTGGTTCCACATGAGAATGGCTGCCGGAAAGAAGAAATGAACAAATCAACACATCTTGTCTGGAGTCTAGCAGAAACCAGGAAATATTTGCTACAACTTACAGCCTTTTTAACTTCACCTCCTCACCTCCCTCTCTTTGTTCCATAAAAGATACCAGGAACCAAACTCACTCGGGGGAGATGGTTCTTTGGCACAGGAGTCCACCATCTTCTCAGTCTCCCAACTTCCTGAATACAGTCGTTACTCATTGTGTTCACTGTCCCAGCACCTCATCTCTCCATCTATAGACCAGTTGTGTGTAAGCAGTACAAGCTCAGACTCTATAACAAGGTTAGTCTTTCCAACAGCTGAAGGTTGAAGGAGTAAGAGGAGGCGCTGGTGTGGCCAAGAGGCCTGCAGGTTGGTCCTGGGACTGAGCACCAGCCCTGAGGGGGGCAGGGAGCCCCATGTTGACTTTACTGGTGCAGTGCGCAGCTAACACTCAGAAATAAGACAGCCAGTACATCGTGTCAGACAAGCCACCCTATGCCAAGACAAACTCCCTTTGAGACTGGGAAACAAGAGAGTTCTGTGAGGGACTTGCAGCACATTCCCCTGCAGGGGCACCAAGCAAGTGCTGGTTTTAGCAGCTCATGTAAGGAAAAGTCAACTGCAACCTTCAGTGGAACTTACAGATTTCAGACACTCACTCCCTACCTTCTTAGTCCCCACGGCAGGCATGTGCTCCAAAGGCCAAAGGAGTCCCTGTAGTATTATTTTAAGAACTGAAATTTCCTAGAACCCTGGAATGCTCTGAGAACTGTCAAAATCACTTTTGTGCTCTGAAGATTTGGCCAGTATTTAACCTTCTCCCTCAGTCATCCAATTTCTTGCCAGTGGAAGTACTTCCCAGGTGTGAAAGCTGCATTCCTGATGCAAACATTTTGAGTTTGCTGGGGCATGAGCTGACACTGCTGGGGCATGTGGGACCCCAAGATCGGCAAGGATCACATGCTTTGATAGAAACCCTGAAGAGGTGCAGGTACAAGGTAAGATCTTTGGACTCTTCCTTTCACTTCTAGATTCACTGAGAAAGTCTCCCACTGGTATGGAAAAGGTGTCTTTGTACCTCTGGCCACAGTCAACTTGCCATGAAGACAAAAGAAATGTGTGTTTCCCTCATAGAATAGGTAGATACTTTCTTTATTGCCGATTTAAGTTCACTTACCTGTAGGAATTTTTTCATTTGTCAGATTCATCATAAATGCACACCAACAACCTCTTTTCTTCCTGCTTAATTTTAGAATTCAAGCACCGGCTGTGGTTCCCCACTAGGTGTGGGGTCCCCACGTGGGAGACTCACTGTGCAGAGGTGCTGTGATGCTGGGAGGCCCGGCCCAAGTGGGGTCTGAGTGCCTTTCTGCAGCCACATAAACCATGAAACTGAGTGTCCACTGGCAGTTTGGTAGGACAACGGGAGAAGTGTGCTGAAAGGGGTCACCATCAGGTGGGCCATCCTCTATTGAAAGCTCCCTGTGGACCCAAAGACCACCCTTTTATTCCTTTTTTACTCCTTGTGCCCCTAGGGCAAGGCGTTTCAACCTTGACAGGGTCTATCTGGGTTGGGTGGCATAATCTCTGGTCATGGGGACCACCCTGAGCATTGGAGGTTTGGCTGCCTCTCTGGCCCTACTCACTGGATGCTCTTCCCCAGTTAGCTCTTCCCCACTGAAAATGCCTCCACCCAAAAGCAAATGTCTGTTGGGGGTCAAGCCACCCACTACCCAGGGGAGAACCACTGCCCATGTGGCCACCAAGCAGGAAAGGGTAGGCAGGAAAGTGAAGCTCCTGGGAGCTGGGTCAAAGCAATGCCATGAACTGGGAGGCAGTTTGGACACAATCGCACAGGCTGGGAGACCCTGCAGGGTAACAAAGTGGAGAACTACATCTAAGGAAGAGAGCCTGATGGCGTTGCAGGATGGAAGGGTCAGGGAGTCTAGAAGCACAGGGACAGTGAGGTGTCTGTCTGCCAGTAGGGGACCACTCAGGCTGCTCTGGCCCATGTGATCTCACTGCAGAACCCAGGCAGGGTGTCACCTCCAGGGATGAGATAGAGGGGCTCTCCCTTTATGCTGGGCACCAGCAAAGCCTTTCTGTGCCCACTGTGGTTGACACCTGGTAAAGGGCATCATCAGATCAGAGCAGAGATGCATGTGTCCAAGATTGTGAGAGCATCCATTCATAAGGGGAATGGCAGAAAGAATTAGACACTGCTTCTGAGAAGAGAAAATACCTTTCGACAACATGACAGAGCCTATAGCGTATCCCAGCCCCTGAAAAATAAAGGTAGTGGGCAGGACAGCTGCCTTCACATGAATGAAGCGCCCTCATAGAAAATCAGATGAGGCTGAATGGATAAATGTTACCAGGATGCAAGTGTGAGGGAAGCTGTCAATCTAGATGATTCTGACATTCTTTAATTCAATCCAATCTTCCCATACACCCAGGGGTCAGCCACACTTGGAGAGTCATGGTAGACTCTGAAGGCCACATTTCAGAAGGAATTCTGCAAGCTAGATCAAGCCCAGAAAAGAGCATCATCTTATTATAAGCAACATTGTCATGTTCAGTTACATTTTACCAAGTTAATAGGCTAAAGTTTCTTCTTTCTCCCTTAAGAAGAACATCTATCATTTTACTAGATTATAAATGTGTTCTCTTCAGGATATTTAGAAAATACAGATGAGAGGAAATCCAAGGACCTGATTTTTTCATCTCTTAATGAGGTGTGTGTTTTATGCAAGGTTTTGGATCTCATTCTTTGTACATAACTTATGCCAGCATTACTGCCATGTCATTAAACTTTTCCCAGAATGCAGATTGAAAATGGATGGATAATATCCATCTGACGAATATCCTAATAAATTTACTGTTTCAATTTAAGTAATGGTTATGGTAAGGGCAATTCTTTTTTGATAGGTAAGAAGTGGATTTATTTAGAGAGAAGCACATTCCGCAAACAAAGTGAGGGCCATCTCAGAAAGCAAGAGCAGCACCAGGCTATGGGGCTGTCAGTTTTTATAGGGGTGGGTAATTTCACAGACTAATGAGTGGGAGGAGTATTCCAACTATTTGGGGATTCACAGGAATTGGGCTACTGCCCACTTTTTACTTTTATAGTCAGTTTTGGAACTGTCATGGTGCCAGTGGGTATGTCTTAGCTGATTGTTACAATGAGCATATGCTGAGGCTCAAGTTACAATGGAAGCTGACTGGTCTGCCATCTTGGATCTGTTTTGTTCTAATCTGTTTGGGTCATGTCTTTGCGCAATGTCATTCTGTTCAAGGTTGTGGCCTACCCCCTTCCCTACTGTGTTGTTCCCCCCTGAGAAGTTTTACTCCTGTATTCTTATGGAAAGCAGAAGGGTGACAGTACATCTCCTGGAACTGCTTCAGGTCTGAGCAGGGGCATCAACCAGGCCATCAGGTAGTAAAATTCTAGATGCCTCATCCAGGGCTGCAGGGTCAGAACATCTTGTTTTAAATCAGTATGGGTTGGAGTACTCACACAGCCTTCCTCTTGAGGTGAAACAGCTTGTAACTGCTTATATAGCCTTTCTATGAATCTCCTTGATGATGCAGCACTTTCTTGTAACAGCATCAGAGTACAAAAATAACGATCTATAAATGACAAAAGAATTAAAAGACATGGTTAAACATCTGATTACAGTGTAGCTGATAAAAATCTTGGTTACAGTTGTCAACTACAAATTGGCACTTACCAAGAGCATTGCCAGTGACTGAACAACAATGGCCTTTGCCATCTGCCTCTATGGAGACTGAACCCCATGCTGCTATAGCTGTTGACCTTCAAAAACCCCTGAGGGAGTTTAGGGTGGAGTGAGGCACTCTGTGGTCCAGGGGATCTGGTGGGACAGGTCTTTAGATGGTTGGATGTTTTTAGGAACAGATACTTTGATCTCAATCCTTGTATCTCCTCATATCTAGAGAAGCACTAAATCCCTTCATGGTGACATCAGATCCTCATGACTAACAAAAAGTCTTTTGTAAAATGAGTGTTTAATGGCATTGAACTCCCCTTTCACCAAAACCTTATATAGTGACCTTTCCCAATGGCCACTTTGGAGCACTCTCTCAGAGCTATCTGGGATGCTGTCTCCCAGGCTACAGTCCTCATTTTACCCCAAATAAAACTTAACTCACAATTCTCAAGTTGTGCATCTTTTTTAGTTGACACAATAACCAAAATTACAAACGATTCCATTTAACTTACCATACCAAATAATCCTGGTTAGATATT